TTCAGATCATGGGCACGGACACACATCACTCACTGGCCACACTGGCGGCGACCCATGTACTAAAAATGGAGGAAGACTGGTACAGATGTTAGTTCAGGGCTAATCTTCCTCAAGCAGAAAAAGAGGAGGATTGGCAATCTTCCTCAACAACAACAACAAAAAAACCCACCAGCCATTTGTTATCTCTTGTGAGTCTTGGCTTGGCTAGACAGATCTGCTGATCAAGTCTTAGGGAACGATGGCTAACCCATGCATCTGTGGTCAGCTGCACATAGGCTGGCTGGCTTTGCTGATCTTGGCTGGGCTCTCTCACATCTTTGGAACCTTAGCTGGATGGCTTAGTTTTTCTCCACATGGTCTCTCATCCTCTAGTAGGTTAGCCTAGGCTTGTTTTTTAGAGTAGCCTGGACACATTCTTATGGCAATCACAGAGAAGCAAGGAAAAGAGTGGACACATGCAAGGCCTCTTGAGGCCTCAGCTTGGAGTTTGCACACCATTACTTCTGCTTCATTCTACTGATTGAAGCAAGTCACAAGGCCAATGCAGATTCATAGGTTGGAGAAATAGAATCCACAGCCTATTTATAGGTGAGAGGAACTACAAACTCACAATTCAGAGGGTGTGGTTACGGGTAGGTGTGAAGAATTTGAGCCATTATTGCAGTCAATCTGCCCCAGTAGATAAGAGGATGGGGTATGGAGATTTACTAGGAAGTTAGTTATACTAAACTTCTTGGTGAGAGAAGGATACTGCTTTAGGAAGGAATGGATATGTAAGATGTTTTGGCAGTTCTTCGGTGTGGGAATGAGGAAGAGGGTAGACTCAAAGGTGACTCCAAGGAACCCTAGCCTGGGTGACTGAGAAGTTGACGAAGCTGCTAACTAAGCTAGGACATTCAGTAGGGAAAGCAGGGTTCATACTGGAAGTATGAGAATGGGAGAGGTCAAAGGCGGAGGAAGATAATACGTTTAGAGTTTGACACGCTGGAGCTCTTCCCATAAGGAGAGTCCATCTCCATCTGGTTGCACATTAAACTCACCTAAGCAGCTTTTAAAAAGTACTGATAGTTGAGTCTCATCCCAGACCAATTAAATTTAAATTTCTATGAATGGGGCCTGGTATTATTTAAAAAAAAAATTCCAGGAAATTTTAATATACAGCCAAAGTTGGAACCATTATCTAGATTGGTGTTCTTCTGCCCATACGTTGGAATCCCTGGAGACCTTATAACAAATGCTGATGCCTGGGCCCTACTACTAGACAGTCTGTTTAATTGGTCTGGGATAGGGACTAGGCAACTGTATTTAAAAAAAAGTCTTTCTGGGTAAATTTAATGTGTAGCTAGAGTTGAGAACCACTGACCTAGATAGTTAATTTTCACTGTGAATAATCAATGTTTTCAGGTTGCAAACCGTGGCAGAGAGGCACTATGACATAGTCTCGTTAAGCTCTGGGCAGGCTCAGAATTGGCATGAAATTGCTGGGTGCCAGCCAGGGCATGGGGACAGGAGCAGTTGGAGGATCAGAGCAGAAACTTTGAGGACCCAACCTGGATCAACACCTGGCGCTTGAAGCACAAGGGCATATCAGAGTTAATCCTGTTTCAAGGAGAGATGTTAGGAAACTTCCCTGAAAAGATCTGAATATAAAATGTCATAATGCCATCTGACTCCCTTGTCCTTCAATTCAAATTTAGTTTTCTCTCTGGTAGCATCCAGACAATGCAACTTCCATCATTGTCTTTGCAGAGGTGAATTGACAATGTCTTAGATCTCAGTATGTGAGTGTTTTACTTGATTGCAAACCTAAAACTGCCTCTTCCTTGATTTCATCCCATTAGTTTGATATTTGACCTTGTCACATTTAGATAATTTCTGGACCTTCTTGTTAATGTCTTATAAATATTTGTAGACCAATTATCTGTCTATAGGCAGTCACCGAGTCAACATCAGAATATTTAGTGTTTTATTTTTTTGCCCCGTGTTCATAAATCATTCTTGGCAGAGCTTTAATCATTTGGGTTTTTGGCTGCCTCTCTGACTTTCCTCTAGTTTATTTTTGGCCTCCGTAAGTCTCATCTATTTTGGGGAAGTACTTAATTGTGGAATACGAGTTGACTCCTACTGGGTATGCCATTGACAATGTCTCAGGTTCAGGGTTCCCCAAAGTGGGCATCAGGATCCCACTGGGTTGGGGCAAGACTTGTGAAAAGGGCACATTTCTGAGTCCCACCCCACATCTCTGGGGATGAGGCTCAGGCATCTGCCCTTTTCACATTGTTTTTGGCTGATTCTTATATATGCAGTTGCTATTACCATAGTTCTTACCTCAATATTATGCTTAGAGGAGAAGTCAGACAAGTTGTTTGTTTGTTTTTGGTGGGAGAGGCTTTGTTCCACAAACCTCATTTATAATCAAGACATAGAACCTTCCTTAAGGAGTTACCAAAAATGTTCTACATTAGGAATCACCATTTCACTTTAGTCTTGACTTTCAGTGAGGTTGGTCAACACGTATCAATTTTATTGTGTACAGCTGACCCACCTAAGGTATAAGCAGAGGTAGAAGGAGAAAGAAAAGAGGAACAGTGAACACAGGAGGTAACAGTAGGGCAGAAGAGAGAAATGGAGATGGGGAGGAAATACAGAAGAGGCATATGTGCAAGAATGGTCTAGTGTCATCCATGGCAGTGTCCATATCATAATGTCCTACATTTTGAAGCACTTTACTGCATACAAAATCCTTCGACATGTGATCCTCACAAATGTCCTAGAGTGACTAAGCCCCATTTCACAGATGGGAAAACTGTGACTCCTGGCAGCAGCTTGCCCAAGGTCAGATAGCTAGTAAGTGTCAGGAACAAGCCTAGAACGAGAACTCAGCACTTCATCCCAGAGCAGGGATTTTTCTGTCAATCCTAATCTATACTATGTCTTTGTAACCTAGACTTGCTCTTGTTTCTGTTATGATGAGACTTTCACTCTTGGTGAGTGTCTCTTTGTGATGTGATGTAGGGTGGCTCTTTGGGGAGGTTCATGGCATTGGTGTAGGGAGCAGAGTGGAGCGGATGTCCTTGAGGTCCTCTGAAGCCCACATAATAAAGGTCAATGAGCTTGCTGAAAGAGCTCATGTCACATGTTATAAATAAAACAAAACTGGTCAGTGCTACCTGAGTGTCTTCATTCTTCCCTTTCTTCCCTTTCTTTCTTCCTCCTCTCATCTCCTGCACATTTAAAACACATGCCAAGAAATGCAGTTGTGGCTCTGGGATCTGAGGAATCTCCAAGTCGTGTAGCAATGAGGGTCAGCATGATTAGGTCTAATGGAGTCTACAAGATAAATTAATCCTGGGATCACTGTTTCTACTCTAGCCCAGCAGAGCTTTTCTTGGTCTAACCCATTTTGGCTGAGGGCAGGGAAGTCCCTCACCGTCTGCTCCCTGAGCCACACACACTTTTTTTCTTTCTTTCTTATGGAATAAGCCCATTTGCTTTAGGTCAGAGTTGGTATTGATCCTCCTGGAGTCCCAAGTTACTAATAACTAACTTGGGTACCATACTTTAATGTTTATAAGCCCTTTCATCCTCATTATTTCTCTTGATCATTTCAATGGTGAGGTAGATAAGCATACTATTGAGGCATGATTATAGTAGCAGTGGTCCAGGAACACCTCTATAATTCCCTAGACCAGCCACTCCTCCCCGTGAAGTACTAAGGTAAGTATATGCACAGAGCAGGGGAAACAATACAAAGGAACCAGTCTGTTGCTAGGTGGGGCTTCATCCCCCTAAATACTGAGCAGGATTCTGGTGAACTAGGCTGCACCACACGGAGAACCTGGGCAGAACTTAGCCACCTAAAAGAAAAGCCAAACTACCTTTCTGATTTTACCACTTTGGTGAGAGGAAAGCCGAATCCTGCATGACTGCTGAGAAACCCCAGAGAAAAAGGAGTAGATACAAGAGACGGGGCCTAGGCCTTTCCACTCTGGAATTCTGCAGCTGTTTAGGAAAAGACACACAACAGAAGAGAAAACCCCAAAGAGCCTTGGAGAATGAAGTAGCAAGCCCCAGGCCTTACCTTAATTCCTAAGGGCTAAGAAGTTGGAGAAGACGCCTCAGTGATGGAAACCCCCAGTGTTAAGCCCCAGTGAACTAATTTTTCCTCCTCTTTGGGCAGTGCCTTTGAGATTTGGAGGTCTGCAGGGCCTGGAGGGAGGGGATGATAGCCTTGGGATTTACAGCTAACCAATATGACTAGCAGCTGCCTTTTTGCCATGAGGAAGATGAAGGTCAGGGAAGTTGTCACTTACTCAACCAAGATCATTCATTTAGTGAGTGGAGGAGCCAGGGTTTGAACTCTTGAATTTTGGCTACAAGCCCTAGTGATTTTTCCATTGTACTACTTGGCCTCTACCAACCACCATCTCATTCTTATGTGGAGAATAATTTCTGGTCTCCTGGGCTTCCTCTGGCAGAGGCATTATCATTAGAATGTTAAAAAGAACCCCTAAAGTATGTTTCTTCCACTTAATGTTTGCCCAGGAAAGACATCAATGTCTGTGGGGTTGTCTGGCACACAGTTTAGGAAGCCTCTGGTTATAAATGGAGATAGTTCTGCTGGATGGGGCTTAGATCACACATCTATTTCATCTCACTGTTCCTCCTTGAAAGCTCAGATGATCCAAATGCACATGCTGTCCCCTAAATGGGGAGTTGGGGTTTATTTTGGGAAAGGGGACTATTTTAAGCTAAAGGACAGGGCTCCCTGTTCTGCTGCTGTGCTGGCTTGATTCCACTCTGCCCTCAGCAAAAATTGAATATTCTCTAAACAATAAGTGACTCAGCCTTTGCTAAATCTTAGATGAAATGGATTTAGCAAGCAAAGAGAGCAAATGTCTTTTTTTTTTCCTAGTCCTGTTTGATGATAATTCTCAGTGCTCAGTGCTTCTTTCATCCAAAGATCTGTAATTAATTAAGCCTCACAGGTAGAGAAGTACAAGAATGTTCATTTAAAACCAATCCTGTTTGATACAGAAGGCCTGTTCCTAAGGCTCTTTAAAAGAAAAACCTCTCTTTTGTAAAACTTCTGTTTAATAGAGTAAATTAAGGAAGAAAAGGATGAAATAATTTTGCCTGGGATGCTTGCTCAGCTATGGCCACTGAGAGAGTCCTAAGTCTGGAGCTCTGATGCCATCTTTGGTTAAACTAGGTGTATAAGCTATTGCTGCATAGCAAATCACCACAAATTGTAGTGACTTTAGATACCAATAAAAATTCATTATTTCATACAGTGTCTGTGGATCAGGAATTCAGGAGTGGCTTAGTTGGGTGGTTTTGGCTCAGTGTTTCCATAAGGTAGCAACTAAGACATCCACCAGGGCTACAGTCATCCGAAGGCTACAGTCATCTCACTGAAGCCGGATGATCCACTTCTAAGATAGCTCACTCATATGGATGGTGAGTTGGTGTTGGCTAATGGCAGAAGACCTCAGTTCCTCACTATGTGGACTTATTCAGAAGGCTGCTTGAGTGTCCTCATGACATTGCAGCTACATCTCCATAGCAAGTGATTCAGGGGAGCAAAGGTAGGAGTGGTGGTATATTTTATCTTCTACCCTTGGATGTCACACTCTATTTCCTCAATGTCCTATTGACTACATACTTCAGCTCTCTTCGGTGTGGGAGAGGATCCACAAGAGCATAAATACCAGGAAGCAAGAATCACTGGGGGTCTGCTTGGATGCTGGCTAATATTAAGACATATTAAGCATGAGTTCATCTGTGATCTCATTGGAGTATCCTCTAAAAAGCCAGTTTAGAGGACTAAACATCATGCATCTGATAAGAAGAAAGCAAGAGATATGGAGTGGTACAGTTAACTTTCTAGTTATTTGTAGATTTAGAATAAATAGCTGCCATTATTCATATTCATCGTTAAGTGATTAAGCCTATATTGAAGTGTACATGACTATGAGGAAGCTTTCATCTCTTGGAGCTGGATATTTGTCCCAGACCTTACACTGGATGACTGGTTCCCCATTGTTGGTCTATAGACCTGTGTTGTGTGAACTAGTAAGAAGCAACTTAAGTGTTTGTTAAAACGGATACCAGGTTTCTACTCCTAGAGATTCTAAGTCAGTACCTTTGGGATCCAATGTGCTATCCCTCCTTATCAGGCAACAGTAGGCTCAGGTTCTGACAAGTGAGAATCACGATTAATGGCGGTCATATTTGTTTGCTTAATATCTATCCATGATCTTTTTCTTTGCCTCAGAAAACCAACTCAAAACTGGGCACTCAGTTGCTGAGGGCTAGAATTGACAGTTGCCAATGTTGTTTACATGCCATATTGTTAAAAGGGGCGTAGATCGTAGAAAGCTCCCATATCATAAGTGCTGCTAGAGAGGCAGATAGAGGGTAGAGTTGCTGACTAAGAACAACAGTTTGAAAGACTATGATACACTGCTACATCAGCACATGCAAGGGCTGGTCACATTACTACATACAGAAATAGTCACATCCTGCATAAATCATAGTCCAATGGTTCTCAAATGTTAGTATCCAGAAGAATCACTTGGGGAGTGTTGAAAAATGCAGATCTTCAAGCCTGCCCCTAGGATTCTGATTCAGTGGGTCTAGAATACCCCAGGCAGTTTCAATATACGTGATCTGGGGACCACGCTCTGAGATACACTATCCTAGGCATGACCTAATTTAACTGCAGTATAGTGACCTCATATCTGTTTAATCCCCAGCAGCAAGAATTTAATATATAGAGTGAAAGGGGCTGTTTTATAGAGTTTGCATGGATGACACCAGCTGAACTGCTGACATGCATGAGGGGTACAGTGAGATCTGGGCAGGTGTGGAAGAGCATTTTATTAGCATTATTTTCATAGATATTTACTCTCCTCCTGGATACTAAGTTGTCAGAGGTAAGATCTATACAAGGTTTAATTTTGCAGCTCCCCTAGAGGCTAGTGTAGTGCCCTACTTGCAGCAGGCTTGCAATAGGTGTGTTATTACACAGGAGGAAGTTCATTTGAGGTGGCCAGGAATTCTGGATGGGAATTAATCCATCTCACCCAGAGCATGTTGCATGTTGTGGTGACTGCTTTATGACTCTGGAGTATTGCCAAGCTCTCCTCTCACTTCCTTCTTCTCTCTTCCAAGTGTCTCAAGGTGGGTAGTGATAGTGAAACAGTCATGGCATTAATGACTGTCTCTAGGCTTGTGACTTTGGAGAGTGAAATTAGAATAAGAGCTGAAGAGTTGAATAGAGCACAGCTAAAGCCTACAAATTCCTGCTGATGAAGGACAGGGCAAACAAAGACTATTTCAGCCATACTGAACACCTCTGTTTCCGTCAGCCAAGAACATCTGGGCATGCCAGTGTGGCAGACACAGAGCCAACAACATGGTCAAGAAGACACTCAATGGCAGACAGTAAAGCAGCAATAATTTATTGAGCTACTACCATGTGCCAGAATCTGTTCTAGGTGCCAGGGATATTAAGGTAAACCAAATGGACAAGCTTACATTTTAGCAAAAGAGATAGATATTGAATAAATAAATACATAATGCAATGACACATAGTGATTAGTGCCAGTAAGGAAAAGAAAGCAGGTGAAGGGAATAGATACTAAAGTTAGAGTAAATATTCCAAAGTAGGCTGCTTTGATATAATAATGACAATGACAATAGTTGTTATTATAAGGATTATGATAATAATTATAACAAATTCAACTAATATTTATTGAGTACCTACTATATGCCACACACAGTTCTGGGCAATGGAGATACAATGGTAAGACAAGACAAATTTCCTGATTTTGTGGTTCTTTTCTTTTTTTAGGCTGGGAAAAAGACCATAAACAATCAAAGACACACAAGAAACATATGAGATAGTAATACCCGGAGAATTATGATAAGGAGTACTGTTAAAGTGACTGAGAAGGCTAATTAAGTTTAGTTGAGGGAATTCCTAATATTTAAACTGAAATCTGAATAACAAGGAGGAGCCAGATATGCAGAAAGCATTCTGGGCCAAGTTGGGAGGGAACCAGGGCAAAGGCCCTGGGCTCAGAAATCTGGGAATAGGGATAAGGCCAGTGTGGCTTTATAAGCCTGGGGGGATTGGGAGCCTGGTTAGAGTAATTAAGGAGAAAAACAATCTTCTTCCATAGATATGAATTTGAGAGCCAATATAACTCCTAGAAAACTATTTTTCTTTCCAGTTGTATATTGCTTAGTTCTTCCATCAGAGACGGGTATAACATTTGCATTGATCAATTTGTAATATGAATTTCTTCCTGTAATTAGTTCTCCTTTCCCCAGCACCCCTGAGAAAATCCAAAATGCAGGGCAAGCATTATTATAACAACATTTTATTAAATAGTATAATTAACACAAATATTGTATAGCAATGTGCCAGTTATTAAGTGTGTTGACTCAGGTAGTACCTGGGAATTCTCAGTTAATATTAGACTGCAGGTCCATTTATCTTCCATAACACTTTAGAAACAAGGTTTCTTTTCTTGGCTGGTATTTGAGATCTTAGGGTGTACTTTTTCTGTGGATAGGTTCCCAGCCACCTGAACTTTGGAGCAGCCAGGGAGGTGCCCTCAGCCCTCAGTTGTCTCCACTTCCTATTGCTGGGTGCTGCCATCTCTTTAACTCCTTTCCAAAGAGTACTTTTTGTACGATGGTCTACTCTCCATCTAAGGTACATGCATCACTCAAATCCTCTTTGTGTCTTTGGAGAGAGGAACATTCCTTTTGTAGATTTTCACCATTTTTATCTTTTCTCTATTGCTTTTCCTGTGCCGTCTAGACAATCATTTCCCATACTATTGGGTCCTCTTTTCCCCAGTTAAACATACAAGAGATTCTGCTCACTCATCCTCTACATTTCACACATCTCTAAAGTACCTTTCTATTTACACTGGTTACAGAAATATATGTGAAGCTCAATGGGATAGATTGTGTGTGCATAGAAATTGACTTATATGCTGAAAATGCAATGAAAATCTTTAATGTAAGTTTACTGTATATTTGAAGGTAATGTATATTTATTCTCTAAAATACTCTTAGTAACTTTCACATTATGAATCACTAAACCTTATGCTTCTCTAAAGAGGAAGCACAATTTCTCGAAATAGAGTATTGTTTTTAGAATGAAAATTTAATGTTTCATGACCAATTCAAATCAGCTTTGAAATTCTACACTACCACAGCCCTGACAAGATTTAAAATGCAAATGCTCCCCATAAGGAACAAATGTCTTTTCAATTATTAAAATTGAATTTCAAGATTTGTAATGGTTTCTATGATAAAAATGTTTAAATATAGCTGAGAAATAGCTCTTAAATTCTAATAATTAAAAAGGACAAAAGCAGAGACTTGAAGGCAATAATAAGAGCAAAGATTGAGTTACAAAAACTAAAATGTATTTAATTTTCATCAAAGTTCCGAGGAATTGCATTAAAAGCATTAGGGTTGGGAGACAGACTCTTCTCTTACACTCACACAGACACAGTTGAGCCAATATGCTTTCTGATCTGTAAGAATTAAGCTCATCTTAGTTACTGAAATTAGAGACAGGATGCTGATCTTAGTTTTGCTTTCCAACTTGGAGACTGTTTTTGAGAAGCCAGAATAATGGTTAAATGTTTTTTATGTTCTATAAAATAGGTATAATGATAGTCAAATGTTTACTGAATTTCTGCCCTGTGCTTTTTGCCCAGAACTTTGCTGTGGATATGAGGGATATAAAAGAACTAGAAGGTAGGGTATCTGCCCTTGGGAAGTTTACCAGGGAGCTGGAAAGAAAAGTCTGGTGTTACATTACACAACTCGAAAACAGTACTCACCATTATACACTTAAGCACTAGGTAGTGTACAGAGACACAAATAATTACAAAAATCAACAGAAAGGAATGTCATTAATCTTGTGAGGGGCTGACATGGAATGCTTCATGGAAGAGGAGGCATTTAACTTGGCCTGGAGGGAAATACAGAATTTGGCATCATTTTCTTTTTACTGTAATGGTAATAACTCGTTTTTATTATAATAATGATTAGCTGTCTGTCGGCTCACAAATTAGAGGATGGAAAAGCATGACAAACCCACAGGGTAACTATGTTTTAAAAGTCTTTTTTAAAGGAATCAGAAGGGAGAAAGAGAAAGCCTTTCTAAGAGCCTAGGCTTGGGGGAAAATGTAGGAGGTACAGAAGAGAATTAATGGGTAATGCTTATCGTTTTGTACAAAGTAACCTTGACACAAATGGGGCAATTTAAAGAAGGTAAGCGACTCCCAGCCCACTCACCCAGGTTGATGGAGGATATAATCATGGGGTTGATGGCAGATTGGAGAAAGAAGACCCAGGGAAGCTTTTCTCCCTCCATTATGTGTATTTCTCATCTAGAGGTAGGAAGCTTGTAGCTGAAGACACGTTTTAGAAATTCAGCCCTCTCTACTTTCAAATCATTTTAGGTAAGTAACTCAATCCAACGACAAATTAGATGCACCTCTTTTCCCCTTCCTTTCTCAAGCTCTATGCAGAGATGCAAGCATTGTCATACTACTGACATCAGAGAGGTTGAAGTGATCAAAACCAGTTAGAGAAACCAAAATAATGGTAAATAATTTTTTGATGACAAACAGTGTGTTGCAGTAGGTGAGTTAGGGGTGTGACGATTCCAGTGTTCATGAGTGAGGAAAGTAGTATGGCTCTAAGTCAGTGGTTTTCAACCTTGGCTAAACATTAGGATCCCCTGGGCAGCTTTAAAATTACTGATGCCCAGCCCCTCCCACCACTCCAGGGATATCATTGGTCTGAAAAGTGGTCTGGGCACTGGATTTTCTAAAGCTCTCCCGGTCATTCTAATGTTCAGCAAACTTGAGAACCACTGCTCTAAGGGCTGATTTAAATGAATTGCACCCAAACAGCTTGTTAAACCGCAGACTGCTGGATACCACCATCTGATTCATTAGCTCTTGGATGGGACCCAAGAATTTGTAGCTTTCAAATGTCCACAGGTGATGCTGATGCTGCTGGTCTGGGGACCACACTTTGAGAAATACTGATTCAAGCCAGTCCAGGTTATACTAAGCATTTCCTAAAGTTTGGCCTTTGAACTTACCTGTTAAAATGTGGATTCTGAGTACCTTCCTCAACCCACTGAATTAGAATGCCTGAGGATCTGTAATTTTAAAGGAGATTTCCAGGTTTTTATTTTGGACTCTATCACTTGTGAACTAATGTGCAACTTAATAGTTTTGTTTCTTTTGTATCTTGCTCCAAATATTATTTTTACATAAATTGTATGTGTGACCATATGAGGATTTTGGTAATTATTTTATGCTATTTTTTTAATGGGAAAAACTCTGTAGACTGAATTGTATTAGATACTCTGAGGTAGTAACAGATAAAACCTGCAGGAAAAGGCTTTATTATGGGGATTATGGCACAATAACAGACCCATCTGTTCATGCAGTGGGAGCAATCCTAGCTGTATGTGAGATGTTTTGGAAGCAACTTCTAAAAGCATGCTTTGCAAGTTCAACATACTTAGGTAATTGCACTCCACACGGGTAGTGTAAAGGATGGAAGAGCATCTCTCAAATTTTAGAGGCTGTTAGAATGACCAGGGCTACTTGCTAAAAGTTAGACTCCCAAATCACAGCTCCAAAGAGTTTTAATCCTGCATAGCACTGAGGAATTTCTATTTAACAAAAATAAGTGATTCTGATACAGTAGGTCCCGGAAACTCATTTTAAGAAATATGGGCTAGGGACTATGAAGGAGAAAAATTGTTTTCATAGTTGACCTGAGTGGCTAATAAAGAATTTGCTATATATTGACTATTTTTTCATTTCCTGTAAGTCAGTGTCCTAAGAACTAAATATAAGTGTCAGCTAAAATGTTAATTCTCAGGATATATTCTTTAGGTGGGCAATATTATTCCCCCACTTGTTTCTTTCACTCTGATTTAGACATTGTGTAGCTTTGCTTTTTCATCTCTTTCTTATACTATTCTTCCTTTTATAAAGCAAATGGAGGAGACACATGGTTAAAATGAGGACCAGTCAATTTTGGACTTAACTGGATTTTTCCCCCTTTATTGCCTTGACTGCACCATCTTATTTTTCTTCCTTTTTTTCCCTCATAGTTCTCTGTTCTCTTGCCCAATCCCTCCCCACACCAGTCCATGTTCCATCTCCACTCTGGGCTGTTTTTCCTTGGTGAACTTTGTGGCCATTTCAGTGGGCAGGAAGGGAAAGAAGGTCACTGGGGACCATGTCAATCTATGGTCTCTCCTCAGGAGTGTGTGGTAGTGGCAGAAGGTTAGCAGGCCAGAAGAAGAAAAACCTACACAAGTCCTCCATGACATCTTGGTTTGTGAGTGCAAGGTTAGTAGAAGCAAATAAAGCAAAACTCAGCATTCACAGGTGAGAGGGAGACTAGCCTGGGAGAAAATTATACAACAATCAATATTTTGTTATTAAGAGTCTCCGTGCAAGGAAAACCTGTGAAAAATGAATCTTAACTGCTTTACAATATGGCTGGCCATTCTTACCAAGTTAACTCTCAACTGTTTTAGCTCACAATAGACGTGATAGGATTATGTCTTTTTCTTTCACGTTTCAGACTTCCTTTATCTTCACCTGCTAAAATATTAGCTTTCACTGAAGAATCATCCCCCAGTCAGAAGGAAGGAAAGAGCTGGTGGAGGAGGAACTTTTATTGATTGTGTTGATGATTAAGGTGTGGCAGCAAGGTCTTTTGTGGTTGGCTCATCTGTTGTCATGGAAACCCACCATAGTGGCAAAGCCCAGACAAAGTCTGAGGGTTTTAACCATCAAAATGGAGGATTGCAATGTGTTCTGAATTGCACAGACAGGAGGAGAAGTGATGTGTATTCTTTACATGCTTCTTCCACTCTGGGTTGGGTTCAACCTGTAACAAGAAGTTGAGAGTTTAGTTAGTTAAAACTGTTCTCTCTATCTTTGTATTTTTGGTTCTCCTGTTGAGGCTAGTGCTAAAGTGGAATTGCCAAATCTGAACTGGGACAAAAAGCAGAGTGTGGACACAAACAGGTTCCATATAAGTCCTTATGGGGAGGTGGGTAAGGGTGGTTCCCAAAGACTAAGGTAGTTATTTTGTTAAAATATAGACATGTGCGCACACACACCCACAAAGAAGAGAGAGAGCCAAGAGATATCATAGAGAATGAACTGGAGTGATCAGGTTTTAAGGTGGATAAAGGGAAGAGTGAGGAAAATAGCTAGAGAAGTGGCAATGTGAGGGAGAGAAAATAGTCACACAGAGACAGTAACCTTCAAGATGTCTGTCTTCACAGCAAGAAGAATACTGGAGACTTTTCCATGGAGAAAAACTGTAGGAATGTTCAGTTCAGGTTGCTGCCACCAACAGAAGGGGGATTTCTTCCTAGGGCCTTCCGAGACATCTGATATTTTGCTCATCTCACCCCTGAACTCAAGACTCTTCCTTTTACATTACAGTATTCTTTTAGGAAATATTTGTTTCTCGAGCTTCTCTTTACTTTTTAAGGTATCTCCCGCACCCATTTTTTCCCTAGAGCCTGAATCACTTGAGTAAGATATATCAAGTAAAGAAGATGATAAAGTGATTTCTTGTATCAAGGATTAAATCTAAGATTAGGTTAAGCTCCATGAAACAGAGAAACCACATATTGTAAATTCCTAATAAAAAGTTTTGAGTTTTGACCAAAGAGCTTTGTCCGTCTCCCACAAATCCAGAACTTTGGATCTATTATATCAGCGGACTACTGTTTCTTTTCCCAAACTCAAAAGTTCAAACAGCTAGTATACTCTTGTTAATTGGTATTGTTTCCATTTTATAGATCAGGAAGCTGAGGCTATTCACAGTTATTGTACATGCTTTGTCTAACTGTTATTTGTAAACTTGCCTATCATTCCCATGATCTACCTCATTGAGGCAGAAAATGAACTTTGCTAATTCTTGGCTCTCCTATATACACAGGGCTGTGCCTATCTCATAACAGAAGCTTAATAAATATTGTCAAACTAGATCGCATGTTTTGTTTGAGTCCACATAAGGAGATAATGAAATAACTGGGGCTCAATCTTCCCCTCTCTCTCAAGCTTCTTGAATTGCAATCAGGACATAGCACAGTCTAAGCCTTCAATAAATACCTGTCAATGGGTTGACTGATGGACTGATTTAAGACTCTATTATATTCTTTAGTACTTGTTCCATGTGCTCCAACAATGACTTTAGACCTTACTGATTTGATTGGTCATATTTTTAGACTTGTTCTTTCTATTTTGACAAAAAGAATAGACAATAACGACTACAAGCGTAGTGACCTTCTGGATTTGTTCCGGTGGATAACCTTGAGAGAATGTGAATGAATTTTCTTAACTTTTAAAAGAGACAAGACTTAGAGTGACAAGCTTGATAATTAGTCACCATGGCCCCTTCACTCCTTTTAATGTCACTTCTCATGCTTTGCATTGGTTCCTAATCAGTCTAGATTGTTATTCTGATTTACACGGTACCTTACTCTCCTTTTCTAGGTCATTTGGGTCTTTGTCCCTCTTTGATGTGTTCTATCACCCACCTCCCTGCCTCCACCCCCAGCCTCTTAGACCCCTTCTCATTTCCCCATAGGTTTATTTACTTTTTTAAGTTCTTAATGTGCTAAGTCCTATTTTACTGTCTCTGTTACCAAGGACATTTTCAGTGAACCTAAGGAAGAGTGAGCTCACTAAAAGGCGGTGAACTAATAATCATAAAAATGATCACGTCCAGACTTTGGCTTAAGCAAAAGAAATTTGAATGTATCTAGAACGCCTTCTATGTGATTCTGTCTGAATCTTTACTAGGAAAGTTACATTTACAGCTGACCTGCTGCTAAACTTGTTGGGAATAAATTAGTGACTCAAATTCCTTTATAGTTCATGTTTCTAGAAGTTGGTTCCACGTCAGAGCTGAGGTTTTCTTGTTGCCTTCAGCATGGAGATTTAGCAGTTATGGAAAGGATGGGCTAGAGCTTTCTGCCAACTGCATGTCATTGGTGAATCCAAGAGAGAATCTAACTTATCAATTAATAATCTTTGCTATTTAAACCATGTTCTCTATTTTCCAAGAACTTGGCTCTTGGTTGTACCTTTTAAAAAATTCTACCAAGATATTTAATTCACACAAAGGGGGATTCTGATCCGTGCTGTACAGGTGAGAGATAACCAAAGTTTTGCCTCCTTTCTAATGGGATGGAGAAATTAAGAAAATTCAGGAAGGATTAGAACTCAGAATGCTCCATGTTCTCTAGCCTTGAGAATTCTGAGTGAGAGAGGAGGATGTGGAACTCACTGGCTAAATTCTAGGAAGACAGAACTCTAGAGCTTTGAAAAGGGACCCCAGAGTTCATCTCATCCAACAGTTTAATTTTGTAAGTGGGTAAATCAAAGACCAGAGAAGTATGGCTTGTCAAAGATGTAAACTAAATAATGGCAGTTTTAGCTCATGACTTCTGTTAGTTAAATTGCTGAGTGGATTTTCCAGTGTGAGCCTTCTTTTGAGAAAAGGCCAAGTCATTCTTTAACATCAACTAAGCATACTCTTTGACAATCCTCACCTCCCCCAAAAAAGCCATTATGAAAATCCATTTCTTTTTTAATTCGCTAGGCAAAATTATTAACACAGGTAGAATGCCAGGGATACAGAGTGTTAATACAACTGCTGAATAATACATTAGTGCTACAGAGTTTAATAATAGATGATAATAAATAATATAGTTGGGGAATTATGTAATTCAGTTATACAGTAAATGATGGGAGAAATACACACACCTTCATAGAAGAGTGTTTCTGATGGGAAGACTTAGGTATTTCAATTTAACTCGCTTCTTCAGCCCTTTGGTCTACCCTTTTGCGAGTTTTGGCAGGACGTTCAGAGATGTGCCAAGTTGGGGCTTTTAGTTTGTGCGGTGAAGTTGTGGGTTTCATTGGCTGAGCCAGACAGTACAAGTTGTGCTTCTTTGGCTGTTATCCAGCTAATCCTCTTAATACATTTATTACTTTCCTCTGTGTCATGACTGGATATCTCCCTTTAGTGAGGGGAGATGTGTCCGAGGTTGGCCATTCACTCCCCATAACCACTCTTTGTAAATCATTGCATGTAAGGGGGTGGTATCCGGGTGGTATCGGAACATTGAGCTTGAAGATGGGAAGAAGCTGGGAGTGGGGGTGTGAGTTGAGAGCAGTGACATAAGGTGAAAGGTATAGTCACGGCCATGGTTCAGCAAGCACACCAATGAGCCGGTGTGTGCTTCTCTTTTTTCATCTGCACTAGAGAGAGCCAGCTGCTGATCACTATTAAACCTGCATTTTTTCCCTTGGAGAATGGGATATTTCCCCTCTCACTCTTTTAAAAGAAGATAAAAAGCAGGGGGTGGGGAATTAATTAACGTCAGTAAATGAAGCATGGGGTGCTTGTCCGGATATGATAATGACTGAATTAGTGCAGAAGAAATGGAATGGTATAGAAAATGAACTGTACTGTCACAGTGCTTTGGGATGGACTCAGTCACCCCTATAATGCATTAACTCTTCCCTTGCCTCATTCTTTGTCCTGCCTCTCCATTCCTCTGGGCCAACACTCTCCCACCACAGAGTCTCAGGGCTACAGTATTATAGCCTGACGTTCCCAAAGGGAGCCCTGCCTTCAGGAGAGATGGGGCCAGCTGGTGATGGCATACTTCTAGAATATAAATAAAAGAACTCCATATCTACTTATTCGATTAATGAAAACACACCAAAAAGAAGCAATTGCTATGTGTCCCCTGGTTAGGGCACTGCAAAATGATGCAAGAAGATAGTAAGCTACCTGGAGGAAAGAAAAGAGAATACTTACTCAAAATAAGTTGTTCCCTCTCCCCCATAGCCAAGGTTTACCCTTGGACTGTCAATAATTAATCTCTACCCCTCTCTACTTTTTCATATCTGCCTCAGGCTATGTGTCTTTCGAAATGTCTTCATATAAGTCCAACAAACATTGACTGGGTACTTCCTGTGTATAATGCACTGTGGGGTCGACAGAGATGAATAAGCCATACTCCACATTCAGGGATTCTTCTCCTCAAGGGCATGGCATGGGGCTTCACATGTAGTAAACACTCAACAATTTGTTGCCAGCATCAGTTTCATTCCACTGAATTTAATCCATATTGAATTTTTCTTTGGGAACAGCAAGTTTCAGAGGTTCAGAGAGCCCTTGACCACTTTCTTTACTTTCTGTTCCTTTCTTCCTTTTTTTTTCATTCTCTGCTTTAAAGTTCTTGGCACATTGGTAAAATGAAAAAATGCAAAAGCATAATTACAGTAAGCTTTAGATGTTAACATTTAAGGAGTTATTTGCTGTAAACACAAAAACCCAATGTAGTATAGTCACAAAATATGAATCACTGAATTTAGAAATGATATTAATTCATAGGACACTTTAGGCAGGTGGCTTGGGAATGGAACTCCAGTTTAGAATTATTTGTTGACATTTTATATCTTTTTGTATCCTCGTTAGTGGTGCCCCTATATGCAGACTCATTTGGAAGTAATACTAAAAGACTAAATTTTATCACGTTTGGTATTTTCTTAAATATACTACAGAACAACAAAAAGCAGGAGTTAGATGAAACCACCATGATAATAATTGCTGAAGCTGAGAAATAGGCTTGTGGTGATTCTTACTACTCTTGTGAATGCCTGAACATTGCCATAATAAAATCAATTTTAAAGGGTAAATGTTGAGGGGTCCTTTGGACAAGTCTGGGTGAATGTCCTCTCTGAGCCCCCCTTGTCCCTATTCCTTCAAGTCCAAGTCAGGAGGTGGATGGTGGAGATTATGTATTCCTGGAATGGCTCAGTGTACTTCTTCTTTGTTTTGTTTTTTTAGGAAGATTAGCCCTGAGTTAACATCTCCCGCCAATCCTCCTCTTTTTGCTGAGCAAGCCTGGCCCTGAGCTAACATCTGTGCCCTTCTCTCTCCACTTTATATGTGGGACGCCTGCCACAGTGTGGTTTGACAAGCAGTGCATACGTCTGCACCTGGGATCCGAACTGGGGAACCCGGGGTCGCCGAAGCGGAATATGCGAACTTAACTGCTGCGCCACTGGGCTGGCCCCTCAGTGTTCATCTTATGGGCATTGTGTTAGCAGGAGATGCCTCAAACTCCCTCAGGAAGTCTGTGAGCTGCTTCTTAAGAGGGCCAACTTGTAGCCTGAGCAGGTGTACACTCTGCCCCATTTAGTCTCTGCTTCTGCCTTTTCTTTGGTCTGTTAATGGAGGAGGCAAATGTGGAGATACTTTTACTTGGGGACAATGGCTCTACCATTTGCCAGAGCAAAGCAGAGTCCATTTATGTGAGTAGATTTGTTAAGCTTCCCCATGGCCTCCCCCTGCCCTCCGGGCATGATGGAAGAGATGCTCCTGAGAGTCTGGGCTTGTCTGGTGGGAGGATGGGCTTAAGAGGAGATAGGAAAATGATCTCTGTATCATTTATTTCCTTTTCCTCCCTCACTTACTGGAGATAGCTCGACCACATAAACTCTATGTGCATCTATGTCTGTGAGCTTTTGTGGTCTTGTCTGTTAGAAGGTGATGTCAGGGCTTAATCACCTGCATTAAGGATTTATCTGGATACAAGTAGGCTCATAAAAGTGGGTGGGGCTTTGGTTATAGTCAAGTGAAGAGCCATTCATGGACCATTCAGATTCTGTTTCATTTAACCACTGAACAGAAGGACTTCTGTATGCAGACCTAGTGAAGGGGCTTCAAAAGCAATTTACAATTTGGCTGGGACCCACAAGAGTCTATAGGCTGACTAGTTTCTACAGGTGCCTAAGAGCAAATTGAAGTCTGTTGGTCCCCATAGGTTGGGTTTTGATAATCTTCCTTTTCCAATCACTTCCATGGTCTGGCTGACCTTCTGACTGTGTCCACTATTGCCTCGTTTAGGACATATGATGTAAACTTATTTTTCCTTACTAAAGTTCTAAAATTTTTGTTGTTCAGCTTATCAAAGGAATTCTTTTCTTCAGGAGGAATCTGGTTGCTATTTTTGGAGCGTGATTAAATCAGTTTCAATCCCTTTTGCTACACAAGTGTTCTTGTGTCATGCCAACTCTTGGGCAGGCCAGGGCAGCTTCCTGGGTGTTCAGAAACACTGGCTGCCTTGGCGTTATATCTTCATCTCTGGACCATGCTAGTGGAAGAAAGATGCCGAGGGGCTACTTGTCTTGGTAGATTTTTTTTGTCCTTTTGTCCTTATAAAAGATTTAGTCTTAAACTTAAAGAATAATAACTTGATAGACCTGAGGTAATTTTTGTCCAAATTCCAAAATACAAGAGAATACAGGCAAATACCTTTATTTACTTCACAAATACCCTATTTACTTCACAAGATGTATTAGTTTGCTAGGGCTGCCATAACAAATACCACAGACTTGAGTGGCTTAAACAGCAGAGATTCATTTTCTCACAGTTCTGGAGGCTAGAAATCCAAGATCAAGACGTCAGCAGGTATGCTTTCTTCTGAGGCCTCTATTCTTGGCTTGCACATGGCCACCTTCTTGCTGTGTCCTCCCATGGCCTTTCCTGTGTGTGCATCCCTTTTGTCTCTCTGTGATTCCAAATTTCCTCTTCTATTAAGGACACCAGTCATATTGGATTACAGCCTATCCTAAAGGCCTCATTTTAACTGAATCACCTCTTTAAAGGCCGTATCTCCAAATATAGTCACATTATGAAGTACTGGGGGTTAGGGCTTCAACATATGAATTTTTGGGGGCCCACGTTCACAGGGTGACACATGGTGAGATGTATCTTTCAAAAGAAAAAAAACAACAATTGATCTTCATGGTCTAAAACTCTGCATTCTGGAGACTCATTCAGATGGGTTCCTGCGTTTGGGTATACTTATAACATCTTAGACACAGGAAATTAATTTGGAAAACTGCTCTTACAATAACAATCAAAAAGGTGAGCAAAAAGAATCATGGCTCTGTAAACTTTTGTCTTGTTCTGGTGTTTTAGAGGGCAGCATCATTAGTATCACCAACAAATTGTGGAGGGAGAGAGGGGTTGGGAGTAGGGTGAGAAAGAGTCAGAAATTGAGGGAAAACTGTCTTGTCAGTTTCAGGAAAGGAGGGAAGACAAGAGGAGAAAGAAAGATGAGAGAGAGAGACAGTGAGAGAAAGAGAGAGAGAAGGAAATTAAGATAGCAGAAGAAGGAGAAGGAGGCAGAAGGAGGAGGGAGGGAAGGTGAAGCAAGAAAGAGTGATCAAGAGAGAGACAGAGGAGAGAAATTAGCTTAGCTTGCACTTACCATGGGTTGAAAAAGAGAGCTCATGAATTTCCTTCTCTTAGAATGCCCAACCCCATCCAAGAGGGTGAAGC